TGGTTGAGACGGCGCCTGCTTTTTTATTTTCTTATTTCTCTTTTGTTTTTCTTTTGTTTTCCCTCTTGTCTCTCGTGGAAGTGGCCACATCTGCCATCATCGTCGTGTGCCCTATGGATGCTATTGATGGTACATACTGCTGCGTGCCACGAGGAGTGTCTTGTTTGTTTTTTGCAGACGCGTGCTTGTGGTCAGGCCAGTGATTTGGCATCCTTCATCAAGTATATGTTTAGCGACCGGTAAATTTTGTTAAGGTTCGCTTGAATGTCGTCTGAATGGTTTTGCCGTGCTACAACTACGTGTTTTTTTATGATGATGTGTTCATGTCCTTTGTTTTCCTGCTGCAGTCAGTTGGTGGGATGCCTGGACCACTTTGAGAAATACAATTCCATGAGGAAAGCCAACAAGCAACACGTCGGGGCATCACTTGTTTTGAGGTGCCGCATCCTTTAGAAGTATATAATGCTGAGAGTTTCACCTTCTTTTTCTTTTTTTTGGTTGTAGTACTCGCGACACCATGCACCACGCCGATCTCGAGTTGCCCAGCGCCGAGCCCAGCCGGTAACGTTTGTTAGTGCACGCGTCGTTTTGAGGCTACTCTAATACTCACTTTTGCGGTTGTTGACCTTCGGTGACCATACAGCGCCCGCATTAAGAACATCTACCGCAGTTTAGGTCGAGGCAGGGGTTCTTCGTCCCTATGCGCACGGTCACGTTACACGGCACAAACGAACGCTTATTAATAGGTTTTGGTGGAGGCAGGGTTGGGGACGACATGTAGCTAGCTTGCTTTGTTGCCCGTCCAAGCAAATTGCGCCCGGGCTCAAGTTGCGAGAGGGTGCTGGGCGATGGACATCGAAACCGGTAACTGGTGTCCTCCGAGCTCTTCCTTGCTTCGAAAACGAACCGTCCTGCCAACGCACACAACGGTCGGTGCTCAATCAAGTTCGAGTATTCTTTGTTTTCCCAGGCTCAATTTATAGCCTGACTGCCATCCCTGAGTGCGGGATCTAACTGCCCATCACAACGGCCCATCACACGCTCTCTCTGCCTCCCAACCATACCCACCGGTGTCGATGATCGATCGATCTCCAAGATAAGGATGATAGCTAGTAGTAGGTGGCCCAGCCCGAAGAAACCCTGCCGCACACGAATGTAATTTGTTCACTCGTCCCTACCCTACCCCTAGCGATCAACATTGGATACGCTCGAGGGTAGGGTTGAAGCTAGGGTACACCGAGCGACGATAATGTATTTTTTTTCTTATGTTTTCGTCCTATTTATTATGGCGACAGTCCCCCCATTTTTCGTGGTGAGATGTGCACGACGCTCTTCAGTGTTTGTAGTGTACTACACTTTTCAGTGTATTTTTTCGTACAACTACAACCATCCAGGGTCATAAGGCAACCTCAAAACTGTGTACTTCCTGCAACGAACAACACAGGAAAATAAAAGTTCTAAGCAAGTGTGGCTGATAGGCCATAGAAAGCATTGAATGCGGGCTCCTCTTGTAGAGTAGCTATAGCCGCGAGATGGGCTCGCACATCAGCAGCGAGTGCTACTAGCCATTAGCATGGTCATGTTGCCCGACCATGATGAGCTACACAGACCGAAGCCTAGGCAAGCAACTTGAGAGGTCATGTATTTCGTGCCCAAACAACCCCCCGTTCCAGCTGACACACAGTTCGTTGCTGAGAAAACTTCGGCAGCAATCCCATCTTTCATCAGGAGTGATGCTACACGATAGGGGGGTTACCTCATCTGATCACACTTTTGGGTAGGGGGACCCTCTATACCCAAACCGGTCGGCCGCGTTTTCTCCCGAAAGTGTAAGATTCCACCCCCCCAACTGTGCACCCTCCTGCCTACGGTGGCAGAAGACAACAACAACATCGTTCGTGTAATATCATCTTTAAATGAACAGGCCCTTGCCGCCGGCTATGAATGAAATCTTGAATCTTCCACTAGCATTGTAGATGACCTCCAGCTGCGTCATATATTCGATCTGGCTCCGCCACTCACCCCCAGCAATAATAATGTGTACCGCCAAACAGCCCCAGATCCCCACAAAGATACTATAATAATAGATGTTCTGCCAAATCATCAGAAAAGGGATGTACGGGTAACGCCCCCCCAAAGCTGTCTGGTCCCATCTACAGCAGTAGTGCAAAACGAAACTCATGAAATGCAAACAGAAACTACCTCCCTCTACCACAGTGCAAACAGAAACAGCACCGAAAAACACAAGCACAACAAGCAAGAGGAAGACCTGACCGTCCCTCAAACTTCCTTCTTCTGCCCAAGCACAACGACGTGTCCTCTCTATATTACTCATCATGATCTATAATATCGAGTCAACACTCCATTTTTTTTATTGATGGGCCGTTAAGAACAAACGCTTAATTCGATAAGACAAATTTAAGCCCGAACGGCTCAGCTCGCAACAGCAACTAAAATACCAGCGCTTTACGTTTCACGCACGCGCGCGCTACGTCCTGGTGCTGAACCCCTATTTCACTTGTTCGTTCTGAGAAATCAACAGAAATAGAAAAGTAAACAAAAACACACCACCAGCCATCGAAAACTTGTACTTGTTTCGCCCCTTGTTGTGCCCAGGGCCTAGGGGGGCCGCGGTCTCTGCTCCTGCGTACACACCAAGTCCCAAAGGTTATGATGTTGATATGTAATCACACAGCAGAAATACCGCCAGTTTTCTTCAAAGAAACGCCACATTTTTCTCCTGCTTCAGCAGGCCAAAAAAACAGGATCCAGCTAGGTCACCCATCAGTGGTCCGAGAGACACTGAATCTTCGCCTTCTCTCCAGCCCAAACCTTAACCTTGGCAAGTGGCCAACATGACATTTTCTCCACTAAAACAGTGCCCGAAACCGCAGAGTTCCGTCCAATTATACGTGAAGAGACCACCTTGCCCTATTGTACTAATCGGTCTACCCGCCTTTCTCAAGAGAGATTTTCAGCCAGCGCAAGTCGAAATAAACTTCGTTACGCGAACGCGATCTCGGCGTGGATCGTATTATTCACGCCCGTTTCCATCAACCAAAAATATTACAGTGTTTGTTCATGCCATGGCGTGTCTACATACCTGCCCTTGCCTAGAGATTTGTCATCAACGTCAACTCAACGTCAACTTAATCTCATCTGACGTAGTATTCACGACGCGGAAATAGCCCTCCCCCCAACCAAACCACACACAAAACGCCACGATCGGAAGGTTGTGAGTTGAGAAACCGACTAAATAGCCTCCACTAACACGTGGATGAAAATGTCTAAGAACCACTCCACGGACACGGTCGCTTCGGCCTTTGCGAGTAACTAATCGCTTCCGGCCAGGAGGGCACTAGAGGGTACCAGAAGAAGAAGGTAGCGATCTTACGGACCAGCAATCGATCCGCTCTTCACGAAAGTAGACAGGCGGAAACAACAAAACCAAGCCTTGACAGGCATGCCGGGGTTACATCAACGAAACCCCCTCGTACGATAAAAAAATACCACGCGACAGCACCTCTAACTAGTACAATTGTGATCGGTCGTCAACTGGTGAGTGCCGCTGATGATGCTCATTGCGAATTAACAGCATCCTTGCCACACTGGAATTCCACCCATCCGCACGTTTAAAGGCGGGTTCATGGGGCAGGTATCCATGCGTTCCGGCTGGTGGGACGGTAATTATCCATTCGTTCCCAGGTTGGCGGGACGGTTATCATCCATTCGTTCCCGGCGGTGGGACGGTTATCATCCATTCGTTCCCGGGTTGGCGGGACGGTTATTATCCATTCGTTCCGGCTGGCGGGACGGTTATCATCCATTCGTTCCGGGGTTGGCGGGACGGGTATTATCCATTCCCTGGTCAGTGGTGGTCGGAGCAAACGGAGTCGCTCCGGCCGTGTCCCCCTCCCCTCACCCTCCCCGGCACGACCTTGGACGTTACGTATGGCCCCCTGTGCGACCGCACGACGCTGCTGCTGTAGGCGTACACGCCCTCGGGGTTTCCGCAGTTGCCGCCGTGCTGTTGGGCGGTGGGTGGGGGGGGTGTTTAGCGTTGGGTTTCTAGGACACGTCCTTCAATTATTGCCAGGGGGAAGGCGTTGTTTCCCGTGGTTAGCCGCAAGAGGTCACGCGGTCAACCACAAGAGGCCCCGCGGTTAACCGCAAGAGGTCCCGCGGTCAACCACAAGAGGTCCCGCGGTTAACCACAAGAGGTCCGGCGGATAACCGCAAGGAGGGATCGAAACGTCCTCACTTCCACAAACGGGGATACAGCAGTATGATGATGAGAGCCAGGACTGGGTGGGATGGGTCCGAGCTCACACCACTTGGATTGGTTTGAGCAGCTCAAGACTTCGGATGATGCGTGTATGATATGTCGTCTTGACACGTATACGCCGATGGGGATACGTCAACATCCGGCACCCACCAAATAAGGGTGACAAAACGGCAACGACGACAGCAGCAACAGCAGCAACAACAACAACAACAACAACAACGACCTGTCGGTGGCGCACCAGACACTGTTGCGTCAACATCTCGCCGAGCCATTGTTCTCCGGGGGGAGCTAGAACAGCTCTTTTCTGCGGTTCAAAAAGCCGTCCATCCGTCCACCCCTTCCCTTCCTCGGTGCAAAAACATCAAGGGACTTCAACCGTTGACACTCAACCGTTGATAAGACCTTTCGTGTTTAAATGAACACTTAATTGTGCTAGAGTTTGTGGCGTATGTTTAGTCTACTTACGTGAGCGTCCTTCTCTCCTATGCTCGGGCCTTTGCAGCAGCTGCACAGGTCGGCGTGGCACTCCACCCCTGTGGATGACGCAAACGCCAACGATACAGATAACGACAGCAACGACAATGATGACGTCAGCAATCACAACGGCGACAACGCCAACGATAACGATAACGACAGCTACGACAAGGATGGCGTCAGCAATCACAACGGCGACAACGCCAACGACAACGATTACGACAGCTACGACAACGATAACGTCAGCAATCACATATCATCCAGCCAGGGGTTCACCACATTGATGTAACGGCAACAACTCGGAAGAATCGACGACGTTCGGGTCGACGTGTGCATACCCCAGGGTAGCGTGCCTTGTGAGTTATCATAAAACATTCCAACCAACCAGCATGTACAAGGCTTGGCGCATCATTGGCAGTGTATCTGAGGCATGTAAGAGTATTGACAGCAGTAATCCTCGGTCTTGGGAAATATAAGTGCTTTCTTGGGAACTCTCTCGAGAACTCTCTTGAATCCTCTCATGCTTAAGCTACCCAACAACAATAACAGGCACCAAAACAACGACATCCGTTGCTTGGCTTGGACGGACGCTTTGGCAGCCTCGGTCTTGGGGGAGAACTTTCTTGAGAATTCTCTTGAGAATTTTCTTGCCAACTCTTTGTGCATTAGAAACGCAACATCAAAACAAGACCGAACAGAATAAGGACATTCACGGCGTATCGTTCGTACCGTCTTGCACGCATTGGCACTCCTCCGAGCGGCAGACTTTGAGAGCCTTTCCTCCGTTCTTTTCCTCGTCCTGCCGCATGGCCTCTTGCAGGACCTTGACCAGATCCTTCTTAGACCCTGACGCCTTCAAACCCCTGAAGTTTGTCGTTGTCGTTGTCGTTGTCGTTGTTGGTGGCGAACAACAAAGAGCACAAGCCAGAAAGAGGGAGGCAGTCAGGCTCGGTATATAGATGTAAGAAATTTCGAAGAAAATTCCACCTCTATCTCTTGTCTGTTACGCCACGCCAAAGAGTTGACTGATCAAACCAGCAACAATACACACAAAGGAGGCAAAAAAAAGAAACAACGTCATCACAATTCTAGATCCGATCGAAAAACACTATTATACTGCCTTCTGCTCTCTCCCACCTCGCCTCCATTAGACCTACTTAGCTCTATCCCAAAGTCACCCAGACTGCGTGCCTTCGCAATCGCAATTGCGGCCGGAATCGCACAGTCGAATTCGAAATCGTAGTCTGGAGTTTGATGCATATCGAGGCGAACACTACATACATCGAAGACGAAATCGAGTCTGTCTTCACAAGGGTACCAGGCTATAAATAAGGGTTATTGTAGCACTTGCATCTTCGGCGACTCCTGCCCTCGTTAGGAGTAAGGGCAAGCAAGCTATTACAGCTACAGCAGAAACACTCGCCGTTTGGTGAGTTCGGCCCGAAGCTTGGCGAGGTTGAGCTTGTCCGGACGCACGTAGCTGCAGCTGCACCCCTGGCTGTTTTTCCTGCTATCTCTCAGCGCGGTAAGCTCGACTGAGGCTTCTTGGGACTTGTCCACGAAGTCCGCGTGCGACACCTATTTAATTAAATGTGTCGCGCCGGGTTTTTGTTGTGTTTTGAGTGGACAAGCAACGACATTTGCTTTGTGTGTTTCGGCGGCTATCTTTTTGTTGTTGTTTTCGTTTTTTCTCTCCTTTCGTGCAGCATATGATACGAGCAGCGTTCTTTGCCGTGCTGCTATCATACCAACAATAAAGGGGGGGGGGGGGGAGGTTCAATAATAAATAATAGCACACAGAGCTTCTGTGTGACCACGGGTTGGAGCAAACGGCACGAACTGTGAGCGCTGATTTGAACTGAAGACCAAAAAAAAAGAAAAAGAGCGCGTCGCGGGTGACGGTGGTGATGTGTGTGGTAAAGCCTGCTGGTAACCTTGTGTACTATAATAAAACTGTTCACGTTGGAGGGAGGGGCTCGACTATGCAAAAGGCGGCAGCCGGGGGAGGGGTGTGGATGTACTCGTGAAAATGCATGCCGTAGTCGTGAGACCATTGACCTCGCACCCCTACAATACCGGGACAAAGGAGCGATGTATTCCTGGTTTACGCCGGCCCCGGCTACGTTTCACAAGGATGACCCAGACGCCGGTCATCATTCTTGCGTTTGAAGCACGCGGGAGGGGGAGGGGGGGGGGCGTACTCATTTGTTGCTTGCCGTAGTCATTTGACCATTGACCACGCGTCCCTTTCGAGACGGAGCACCGTTCCTACACCTACTAGAGACACCACCAACATTTGGGAGCTCTTTACGTTTCTGCCACAAACTCCATAAAAATTTCGTGCACATCTTATCCCCGTCCTCTAGGGCCTCTTGTGCCCAACATCTATCCCCAATTATCGCGATCGTTTTTTCGCTGTTGTCTAATTTACCAAACTTGTCCATGTCACACCCTCTCTGTCTCATTTCCTCCGCGAGATCCTCTCTTTCCTTCTTGTACAACTCACACTCCCCAACTATGTGGGGTCTACTCTCCTCCGATTTGCCACATGGACATGTGTGTCTATCCTCCTCTTCCTCTCTCCTACGGCTGGTATACCTCTTCCTCCGTTCTGGCAAGTCCAGATCGCCTACTCGAAATTGCAATTTCAGCTTTTTCGCATAGTCCATGGGGCCGTCCAAGTACGTCTTCATCCCTATCCCTTCTTTCAACTTCCCGTATATCTCCAAGTGGTCTTCGCTTCGTACCTTCTTCCGAAGGGTTGCCTCCTCCCTACTCTCTAGCATCTCCTTGACTTTCGTCTTGAACCCCCCGAACCCTTCCGTGTCCAACGTCTCCTCCTCGTCTCCTATCTCCTTCCAAACCTTCTCTACCACCTTGTCCCATCTGATTCCCTTCTTCCCTGGAGTCGCTTTTCCCCAAGCTGCCTTGTCAACCATGGCTGGTAGTCTATCGTCCGAATTCTACTTACCTTGTACTGCCAATTCAACTTCTGCATGTCTCTCTTTGTTTTAAGAGAGTACATTCCCAATTCTGCTCTCAATACAGTGTTGCTCGTTGTACTTGAACATCCTAATATTTTCTTGGAGGGGGGGGGGGGGGGGGGGGGGAGAAGGGGAAATGGGGGAACCCCCCCCGGAAAGGGTCCCTTACCCAAAAACACATCAAAAAACCGGGGTGTTTGCCCCCCAGGGCAAACCCCCCGGGGGGCAAAAAAAAAAAAAAAAAAACCCGGGGGGGACTTGGCCCCTTTTTTTTGTCCCGGGGGGCCAAAAAAAAAAACCAGGTTTTTTTTAGGGGGGGGTACCTTTGGGGTGAAAGGGGCCAAAACCCCGGGGCCCTTTCCCCCCCAACCCTTTAAGGGGGTTTTGGTGTCCTTAACCCCCGCCCCTTCCCCCGGGATTTTGCCAACTTTCTTAATTCTGGGGGGCCCTTTTAAATCCCAATTTGGGAAACCGGGGTAATCCAAGAATTTTTT